CTTTCCATTCTAGTCCCCTTCTTCCACAGCCACATCTACGCCATCAGTAAATCCTGTCAGACTGACCTCCAACATAAATTTCTCTTTGTCTCCACACTGTTTACACTAACTACACCAGTCACTTCTTACTTCTATGAACGCACAGCTTCCTACCTAGTCTCCCTGACTGCTCTTGTATTCCCACTCCAGGAGCCATGCTGACTGCTTAAAATATATCAGATCAATTCATTCTCTCCTCCAAAATTCTCCAATACTTTTCCATTGTCCTCTGAATAAATCCAAACTCCTCACTAGGCACTGTACATCCTGGCGTATTAATTTCTTACTGCTGCTCTAACAAATTACCACAACCTTAGTGACTTAAAACCACACAAGTGTATTTATCTTAGAGTTCAGGGGTCAGAAGTCCTCAAATCAAGATGTCTCTAGGCTGTGTTCTTTCTGGCGGTTCCAAGGGGAGAATCCGTTTCCTTCCCTTTCCAGGTTCTGGAGACCACCTGCATTCCTTGGCTTGTTGCTCCATCAAATTACATCACTCCAAGCTCTGCTTCCATCCTCACATCTACCTTTGTGACTTTGAGCCTCTTGCTTTCCTCTTAGAAGGACCTTTTCTATTACACTGGGCCATCCCAAATAATCCAGGATAATCTCCCAATCTCTAAATCCATAATTTAATTAGACATGCAAAGTCTTCTTTGACATGTAAGGCAACATACTCAGAGATTCCAGGGATTAGGGCATTTGTGTGTCTTTGGAAACCACAGTGTGTCCACTACAACTGGTCTCCTTCATGTTTCTTGAATTTGTAAACTCACTCCAAGAATTTAGGGCCTTTGATCTCTGTTTTCAGATATTAGCATTTTAGGATAGCCAGCTCTTTCCTGTTAGTCAGATCTTAACTCATAGGCCATCTGCTCAGGGATGCCACTTCATCAAAAGTATACCATCATCCCCATTATTCGCATTCTAGTATGCCTGTTTTATATTTTGTAGTCCTTAACATTACCTGAAATTACCTATCAATAAATAGCTCCACTGGAGCTTGTCAATCTTGTTACTCCAATATCTAGGGCCTGCATACAATGATCAAGCCACATAATCACCACTCAGTAGCATCTTGCATTGAATGAATGATGAATGAATGAATGAATGAATTAGTGAATGAATGAAGTAAAGTTAGCCTGTTCATTTTAGGATCATGGGAAAAGCACATCTATACTCTGATAGACACTGGATGCCACCAGGCCACCTATTTGGGAGGCAAAAAGTTTTTAGGAATGACTAGAAAGGTAAAAGGAAAATTTTTTCTCACTTCTAAGGAGACACCAATAAAACAGGCCTGTCCTGCCTCTGGGGTGGTTACATATGGATGTGGTACCTGGAACTGCAAATACTTTGTGGTCACAAGGGACCCAGGCTTGGGGTGAAGCCAGGCAGCAGGATAAAGATGGAAGGAACAGCAAGATCTTAGAGATTTTGCTGAGCTGCTGGACCGACTAAATTTGAAACCACTACCTCTGTCCTTTGCCCTTGTAGCCTAAAGCATCCTAACTGATAAAAATTGATTTCCAATACATAACAAGTTCTTACAAATTTTAGGTAAAAGACAATCTCATGTTCATCCATTTACAAACTGCCTTTCCCCCTTAAGTAAAAATACACAAAATATATGAAAACATTTTTTTAAAAAAAACACCTTTAAATGATAAAAGCACCACCTTAAGTTGGATATGTGAAGCCCATTCCTACCCCCATCCCTCACAAAGGGTGAGGACTGAAATTTTAAATGAACCCGATTTCACAGCACCTTCCTTAAACATCCAATTCATTTATAAATTGTATGTCAAAAAATTTTAGTGAGTTCTTTGAACTTCCAACTAATTTATTATAAAACAATGGCCAAGTCTGGCTTTAAGCTACAAATAAAATAGTACTTATATGTGCCTGGGGATCTCCTGAGCTCTGAGCGCCATGAGCAGTCCCAGGCTCTGATCCTAAATGCTCACCCTACTGCACTTTGTCCCAGGTCTCAGGGGTGAAGGGAGGTAGATGGCATAGAGATGGAAATGTTAAGAACAGTCAGCATGAAGAGAAGTCTCCAAAAGTTGGGACTCTAAGTGGCTCTATCTTTGATAACTCAAATTTTCTAAAAATGGGTACTCTTCCTATTCTCTCATTTTAAGAAGTTCTTATGTAAGCAGGAAGCACCCATTTTATAAATTTAGACAACAGCCTCAGCATTTGTGCAATTGTAGAGTGATTTTCTCCAGGTAATTCATTGGATGGACTTTGGAGACATTATATACTTCTCCCTCCAACTCTAATCTCCTCTGACTCTTACTATTTCTCAGTACTCACATTATAAATTATGTTAGAAACACAATGAACAAAAAATACCACCACAGCATGTGTTCATATTAAGTGGGCAGTCTCCCTGAATAAATATATAGATAATTCTGTGCACACTTACTGGGTAAAAATCAATGCATGTCACAACCAATTAGCTTTCTTCCTTTTCCTAGGTGTATATATTTCTGTGTTTATCTTCTCCACTAACTTCCCAGGACTCCACTCTGTCTGCTGAGTTTGGTTTGTTCATAAATTCCATTTTAACTGGTAGCTCTACCTCTCTGCTCCTGGACTGTTCTCTCTTCAATTCATGAGCTCCAAGAAACCTTCTTTCCACAGGAGGCATTCATAGAGCCAAACCCCTCCCTGATGTTACTAGAGGGTGGGGGACAATGATGTTTTTTTTTGTTTTTTGTTTTTTCTTTCTGGCAATCACTACCTTGTGTCTCTTTTTGTGTGTGTGTGTGTGTGTGTGTGTGTGTGTGTGTGTGTGTGTGTGTGTGTTTCTTCTCACCTAGAAAGTTACTTCCTGGATCTAGGGAGCCAAGAACCCCTTTCCTTCAATCTTAGCCACCATACACAGAAATAAAACTCTTGTATTTACTGTGCAATTAACCACAATGTTATAAAGCACTGTTTGTTTGTTTTTCTTATTTTACAGAAATAAATTATTTTGCTACAAAGAATAGAAATATACATTAATTTGCATTTTTAAAATTTGTTTCTCCTATGTTTTAAGAATTTTATTAATGGGGATTGGATTAAATCTGTATATTGCTTTGGATAATATGGACATTTTAACTATGCTGATTATTCCAATCCATGAAGATGGAATGTCTTTCTATTTCATTGTGTCTTTTTCAATCTCTCTTAATAATGATTTATAATTTTCAAAATAAAGGTCTATACATCCTTTGTTAACTTTATTCCTAGGTATTTCATTTTTTTTTGTTACAATTGCAAAAAACATTTGATTTTTTCATTTCTTTTTTCTGAAATTTCATTCTTAGTATATAAAATACAGTGAATTGTTGTGCATTGATTTTTTTCATGTTCTGTAACTTTACTATATTTTTTATTGTTTCTAATAGTGATATTTTTTGTTTTTGTTTTTTGTTTTAGTCTTTAGGGTTTTCTATATAAAGAATCATGTCATATGGAAAAAGTGACACTTTTTACTTCATTCCAAATTTCTTTCTCTTGTCTGATTGTTAGAAATTCTAGTTCTATGTTGAATAGGGATGGTAAGAGTAGACATCCTTGTCTTGTTCCTGATCTTAGAGGAAAAGCTTTGTTTTTCACTACTGAGTATATTAGCTATGGATTTGTAAAAATTGCCTTATTATGTTGAGGTACTTTCATTCTACACTCATTTTATCTCCTAACATATTGTTCTTAGGAGAAGACCATGGTTAATACAAAGCATTTGGTTGCTAAGCATTCTAAATATTTATATTTCTGATGAGGTTCATCCTTCTAAAATATCAGAACTGAAAACCAGAGTTATCAGATTATATACCACAAACTAAAATATTTACTAACTCTAAAAGATTACATGAATTCTATTTTAGTGTTATAATTATAGATGTGCTATTTTTATACTGTAAAGTAATTTTTGAAATTTCTAAAATTCATTTTTAAAATCTCTTTTATCTACTGAATTTATTGGGGTGACATTGGTTAATAAAATTATACAGGTTTTTCCCCAAGTATTTTTATTGATTTCAGAGAAGAATGGAAAGAGAGAGAGAGAAACATTTATCATGAAAGAGAATAATTGATTAGCTGCCTCCTACATGACCGATACTAGGGATTGAGCCTGCAACCTGGATATGTGCCCTAACCAGGAATCGAACCATGACCTCCTGGTTCATAGCTTGACACTCAACCACTGTGCAACACCAGCCGGGCAAGATTATACTGGTTTCAGGTATACAATTCTATAATACACCATATGTATACTGTATTGTGTGTTCGCCACCCCAAGCCAAGTCTCCTTCCATCACCATTTATCCCCCTTTTACTTTCCTCTACCTCCCTTCACCCCCTTTCCCTTTGGTAATCACCACACACACTGTTGTCTGTGTCTATGAGCCCCCCCCTAAAATTGGTAATTTTGTTTGTTTGTTTTAAACATATTTTTATTGATTGTAGAGAGAAAGGGAGAGGGAGAGAGATTTAGAAACATCAATGATGAGAGAGAATCATTGATTGGCTGTCTCCTGGAGAACTAACTCACAACCTGGGCATGTGCCCTTGACTGGAACCGAACGTGGGACCCTTCAGTCCACAGGCTGAGGCTTTATCCACTGAGCCAAACCAGCTAGGGTTAAAATTGGTAATTTTAAGAAACAACGTCAATATTGTTTCTTCTGGGCAGATAATATAGAGACAACAATAAGAGAAAAACTTTATAGAGACAATTTCACATTAAGTTACTAATTTGAGCGACCAGGGAAAGCTTTAATCCATGGATGAATAGGTAAATTTCTTACTGAGGGGAAAGTAATTTTATGTACTTAAAAATATTCACAGGTCCTTTGATATAGCTGAGAAGAGCTGCAGGTGACCATATCCACACAGCCAGATCCCTGCAGAGGAGTCACAGGCATTCTAAATTCGTACAGGTAGTTTAAAGTTCAGCATCTTACATGAACTTTTCTTTATAGCCGTCCAGCTCGGTCACTGCCTTCTGAAGTTTTAGCCCGAGTCCCTCTACTTGACCTTGCAAATCTGAAATGACACAATATGTTCATCTGATTAGGACGTTTGAGGTGTCCAGACAGTTTCATAGAGGAAACCACATTCCTTTGGAGTTGCCACTCAGCAGCTCCCTAAGAATCGGGCAGGTAACTTTGCCTGGATGACCACATGCAGCTTGCCCCTACTCTAAAACCTCAATGGAGTTACGGTAATGGATTTTGACACATTCCATTCATTGGCCTCTGTTTGCTACAAGATCATGCTTATTTCCGAACAGCTAATAGGCTGAATTTTACTAATGTTTCCCAGGGAAATTTATGTAGGCAACACACATATGAATTCCTGATCACATGACTCACTTGTGAAACACCTGACTGCCTAACCTCCTCTTGTGGCCTAGAACTGAAGATGTTGCTGAGGCCTCCTGGTAGAACTAAACTAGTCAAACCATGTGCAAGGGTCCAGGTAAAGCATTTGTTAACTCAGGGTAGCTTCTAAAAGGCATTTTAATGACTTTCAAAGCCAAGAAAATGCAAGCAAGAAGTTGGCTTTCTCAGCCTCGAAAAGCAGAATTCAAGGAGTTTAAGGAAGATTATTCCAACAGCCGTGTCTAACATGTCTGTGGATGCAGAACTGAAACGAAAGCACAGGAACAAATACTTGAATCCTCTGAGTCCTGCCATTAGGCTGTGTAAGGGAACTGAGATCTGAATCCTAGCCTCAGTGACAGCTCTGTAGGCACTCTTTTTTTAAATCCTCACCCGAGGATATTTTCCCATTGATTTTCAAACAGTCTGGGAGGGAAGGATGAAGGAGAGCAAGGAGAGTAGAGAGAGAGAGAAACATCAACATAAGAGAGACATATGAATTGGTTACCTCCCACAGCACCCCAACTAGGACCTAGGATTGAACCCACAATAGAGGTATATGCCCTTGACCAGGAATCAGACCCTCAACTCTTCAGTCTGTGGGCTGATGCTCTATCCACCAAACCAAACCAGCCAGGGCTTGTCGGCACTCTTTTTGGGAATAAGATGAAAAACAATATGGAGCAAACCGGTTTCTATGAAAAACAATATCTAAAACACTGGAATGATAAAATTCCTATTGTATCTTCTTGGGTATTTTAATAACACTTTTTAAAATAATAAACTTTGAAGTCTTTATGCATGCATACAAATACATTATCCTATCTAATAAAGAGAGAATATGCTGATTGACCCTCACACCATCACAAAGATGGCAATGCCCACAGCCAATAAGGAGGGAATATGCTAATTGCTGTCACACTCTCAAATATGGTGGTGCCCACAGACACAAGATGGAGGTACCCAGTCCCTTCAGCAACGCCGAGGTGGGAGGTACACAGCAGGACCAGGCCCACCCTCAAGTGGGCCCAGCTGCTCCACGCACCTGCCTCTGGAGTACCCCCAGGCCCCTCAGCCTCTCATCCACCCAGGGTTGGTTTGAGGCACAGGCAAGCCTCAGATGGTGGCTGCCCAGCCTCCCAAGGCCCCCTGAGGCTCAGATAACCATGGGTGGCTGAGGCTTGTGCTGCCAGCAGTGGCAGCAGCAGAGGTGTGATGGGGCATTGCCTTCCCCTGATCACTAGGTCACCTCCTGCCCCTGAGTGCTCCTGGACTGTGAGATGGGAAAGGTTGGGCTGAGGGACCCCCCTCCAGTGCATGAATTTTCATGCACCAGGCCTCTAGTGTGTGTGTGTGTGTGTGTGTGTGTGTGTGTGTGTGTGTGTGTATGTGTGTGTGTGTATCTTCAATCTACCTTAACTTTGTTTTAGAAAGGAGAGATTTTCTTAAACCAGAAAGTAAATTCACTCCAAACAAATGTTTTAATTAGAATTTATCAGATATTGGCATAAATTTTATGTACCCAGTACTTTCACAGATAGTATTTAATTTTATCCCTGAAACTGCCTTGAAGTTGCTAATAGCCCCATTTTCTGATGAGGAAAACATGAAACCCTCTCTGATTCTCTTGGCTGGTATCTTACAATGAGTAACTGCATTAGCCTACAGAGAAACCCAGTAAAGATTTTAAACTCTGCTGAGGCATTAATTTGAGAGGAAATAAGATTCAACAGGATTTACTTGGTAGATAATATTTGTGGGGTACAACTTTCCATTTATCAAGTGATAACATTATATGAGAGAAAAGATAAAATAAATGGAGAATTTATTTTTTAGTATAAACCCAATTTGGAAACATAGCAATCTCATAAATGTTGTGTAATGTGTTTCCTTATTATTAAGCTCATGTGTGCTTGCAGAAGGGTTCTAGTCACATGGGGACAGCTAAGAGATTTGGACCCATCCTCTGAAGAATATGCAGAGAGGAAGCTGGTGACTGTTGGAGGTGTTCCATGTCCCGGCACAATGCAGAGAGCTTTCTCCTGTATCATTTCATTCACAGTCGCAACTACCATGACAGACAGCTACATGTTTTATTTTTACCAGTGAATACTCTGAGGATTAGAGTAATTAACTAGCTTATCAGAGGTCAGACAGCTGGTTAGAAGTGATCTTGTGATTCAGACTCAGGTTGGCCTCATTCCACAGCCCTTATTTTTCCAACTTTCTTACACTGACTCAAAATACGAAAACTAGAAGGGAATATATTTGTCCATGAAAGTGTGGGCAGAGTAGTTATAGACTTGCTTAGCATATCCCAGAATCTCTAAAGAGATACATTTTAAGGCAAATGAAAAGTATTATTTTATATAATATAATCAGTGAAATTTCTAACTGCAAGTGATGGTTTATATTTTAATTCTTGAAAATTTTAAAATTAATATATTATAATTAAGGAAGATATTAAGACAAAGTGTCATTATTACCAACTTTATGAGACTAACATTTATGACTTCCTGTTAAATGTCCCTTAGTGGTTTTGACAGGATATAATCTTAAATTAGATGAAACATGGGTCTGAAGCCGTGTGACAAATTTTGTTATTACTTCTAAATGCTATTGTTAAAAGGGAGAATTGATTACCTTAAAAATCCCAAAGAATTGATACTTGATATGTGACTTTTACACAATTTTCAATTATCTGATAATTAGAATAGACAGTAAAATTGGCAGATAATTCAAAACCATTTCTATAACATTGGAAGTATCCTTAGATTCACATTTGAATATATTTGGTCATCACAGTTTCAGAATTTACTGGGTTTAATGGAAAAGAAACTACACAATCATACCCAACTCCAGGAAAACAAAAAATCTATTATACTCTCCAGTATTAATCTCTATATATACCCACCTAAATTTCCCTTTCTCCCTACGTCAAGATCAACATAGAACACTTAGTCTTTAACTCACAATACCCAATGATTGGAGAAGCCGCTTCCTGCAGTTTATTCACTATGTTTTTTATAGCATCTCTGAGTAAAAATAAGGAAAGCAAATAAACATTTTACTTCAAAACACAGAAACCTCTGAAGAGACTGCCATGTGAAGTAAACAGAAACAGGAAATATAAGTAATATCAACAAATAAACCATAAAGTAGAGAAGGTATCACAGATAATTGAAAAAATTATTCATTATATGAATATATTTTCATAGCTGTTTTCTTTCTTTTTTACTTTTGGTTACATTTTCTCCAATAAAGGAGGGCTAAGAATTGTTTCAAAAATACATAGGCCATATGTTTACTGTTCAGAAAGAGGCGGTAAGCATCCTATTGGTTTATAATTGGTTCTGGTAGACTAGTAGGGTCCTTTTGTTTTTGGAAGCGGAGTGCCCAGTTCCTGTCCTTAATAAATAAAGGAACACAGTTAGGATAAGCAGCAGAGAGATTAAGCCACCTGCACTAGACAGCTCCTTCAGTTCCCGAGGCAAGGAGTTCTTAAATAAGTGTATTGTTCTGTGCAGTCCTCCTCTGTAGTTAAATAAATTCAACTTCAATTTTCTGTCATTCACCATGACATTGGATTATGAGGCAAAAGGCCCTGAATGCCTACAAGAAGAAAAGAAGCATTGGCTTTAACCACCATGCAGATGTAAGGCGGAACCCATGGAAACAATCCAAAATTCACAACATCAAACTCCACTAAGATGGGACAGAGCTCTTTGCAGATATTAAATAAAAAGCAAATGATTTTCAATGAACAAGACAAAAAGAGCTCTTAGCCTCTCTTCATACAAAGCCAGCTGCTTGCTGGATAGCATTACGCAGGCATCAGATTTGGGGTAATTAGTTATTTAAGAGAATCCTGTTATTCTGAAAGGTTTCTAGAACCTACAAAAAACACAAAAGGTATTCTTAGTTCTTTTACAGAAGAATATAAAACTAGTCATTTGGAGGGTATAGTTAAGTTAGTGTAATTTTTTTTTTTAAACCAATAAAGAAAATATGGGAACATATTTCGAACTTAAAACTTTCTGGATATTAAAAATGTAAAGCCTGATTCAAAATACTATGGAGGAAATGGATTTCAGGTTCAAGTAGCAGGATGGAAGAGCAAGCAGGCAGAGGACTGGTACCCAGAGATCCAGGGGAATTTTTTCAATGAGTAGTTGAAGGCACCATAATAACATAAATATTAAATGGTGGGAATAACTGAAGAAAAGGAAAAACAAAAGTGCATTCTTCTTTTAATACACTCCTATGACCAGATAACATCAAGCTGTTGTGCATAAATCTTAAAGCCACAGTGCCTTATTTCAAATTCTGGCTCTGCTTCCTACTGGCAATGTGAATTTAGGCACTTGAGTTTCCTGCCTACACAACTGTTATTATAGCAAAGGATTATTCTGAGAATTGAGTGACCTGATAAATTTAAAGAGGAGAGCAGTAGCAGGCACCTAATGAGAACAAGTCACTGCGAGCTCTTATAACTGGTGGTGGCAGTAACCACCTACCCCTGACTTCTACTCTGAATTTCATCACTTGTCACCTTGGGGAACTTGTTGGGGCCAGTGTCACCTTTATATGGGAAAGAGGAAAAACGAAAGTTTTAATGCTGTATTTCTCTTTAATAATCTACAAAGCAGTTATGGCAAAATG